GATTGACTATTTCACGCGACTGTTTGGAGTTATTTGAAGCCGATGCAGATGATTTTTTGAATCGTTTTGTTACTATGGACGAAACATGGGTTCATTACTGTACACCGGAAACAAAACAACAATCAAAACAGTGGAGAAGACCTGGTTCACCACCCCCTAAAAAGGCTAAGTCGATTTTGTCGGCAAATAAGGTGATGGCTTCAGTATTCTGGGACTCGAAAGGTGTGATTATGATTGATTATCTTGAAAGGGGTCAGAATATAAACTCTGATTACTACTGCACCTTACTACGTCGTTTACGAGAGGAAATAAAAGAAAAACGTCGAGGAATGCTCAGAAGAAAAGTCCTGTTTCATCAAGATAACGCCCGTGTTCACACGTCAGTACAGTCAATGGCTGAAATTCACAACTGTGGCTTTGAACTGTTACCGCATCCGCCGTATTCACCTGATCTGGCACCATCAGACTTCTTTCTGTTCCCTAACCTAAAAAAGCACTTGGGAGGTCAAAGATTTTCGACAAACGACGAGGTCAAACAGCTGTAGACGCATATTTTGACTCTAAGGAAGAATCATTTTTTTTCAACGGTCTAAATGCTTGGAAGGGGAGGTGGCAAAAGTGTATTGAACTTGATGGTGATTATGTAGAAAAATAAAAATATAACTGATTTAGTATTTGTTTATTTTCTTGGTTAGGCCGAGTACTTTTCAATCCACCCTCGTACAAGCTGTATTGAAGTTGCGTAAGTCCCGTCGCATGCATTTGGAGATCTGTCTGTTTAGTTGCCTATATGCAGTCAAATCTGTTGAAGAATGTAGCGTCATCTCCCGTCTAACAGCCATGAGATTAAAAGTGTGATCGGAGAGTTTTTGTGTTCTTCTGCGGCGGGTCTTGCAGAACTTAGCTCCGACCGCATGGACAGTTTCCACGAGCTTGACATTCATATCGTCCACTTCATTGCAGTCTTCTAGGCACTGAAAACGGTTTTGTAACTCGAGCTGAAAGGTTTCGGGACTTTGGAACAGGGCACGAGGGAGACGGAGCGTTGACTTCATTAGACGAGACCTCTCCAACTTAACGTTTAGGTTCAGTGTGCCTCTAATCAATCGGTGATCGCTACCAGTTTTCACCCTCGCCATCACGGAGATATCACTGAACAGTTGTCGTCTGTTCATCATAATGAAGTCAATCTCATTTTTTGTCGAACCGTCGGGGTTCGACCTGGTCCGCTTCCTGTGAGGCCACTTCTGGAAGAAAGAGTTCATCATAAAGAGCCCCTCTTTCTCCATGAAGTCAACCAGCTGCTCGCCCCTTGGGTTCTATTGCCCTATTCCGAATTTCCCTACTTTCAGCTCACCGTTCTCCCTTGTGCCTAGTTTTGCATTGAAGTCTCCCATTAACACCGTATATTGGGTTTTGGAGGAATGCATGGCTCTAGAGATATCCTCATACATTTCCTCCACCTCCTCATCAGGGTGTGCCGAGGTTGTTGCGTAAACCTTTTTGACCTTCAGCGAATACCGTTTGGTGATTCTGAGTATAAGGTACGCAACCCTCGTTGACACACTCTCAATCTTTACAACGTTGTTAACGAGAGACTTGTGGACAATAAATTCGACACCTCCTTGGGACAGATGGTCGCCCTCCCGGTGATAGAGCAAGTTGCCGGATTCGAGGATTACCGTGTCCTCCCCCTCTCTTCTTACCTCGTATAATCCTATAATATGGCAGCGTAACTTGCCAATCTCTTCTTCCAGCTCCACGATCTTCTCGTCAGTCCTTAGGGTGCGTGCGTTGTATGTTGCCAGTTCGAGTCGTCTTAGGTGGCAACCGAACTTCCACCGGAGATTCTTAGCATCCCCTGCCCCGCCGTTACCACGGTCGCCACCGTAGCCAGGAATAGCGATGCTACCGGGGACTGGGAGCCGTCTCTTTGTTACTCTCATCACCGGGAGGTATTTGCCATAGTTGCCACGCTTGGCGAGCGAGTTGGCAACCGCAGTTTTTTTATTGTAATGTCGCTGTTATCAGGAAGATGTTGCTGCCCATGTCCTGCCTGTTTCCCTTTATCGCCTTTTACGACACCCAGGGGAAGATATGGGGTAGTTAATATTCTTAACCGCCACTACACGACGATAATAGCTTACATAAAAATCTATTCAAATTTTTTGCACATTGTTTATGGACGCTGTAGCGTATTGTGTCACAGCATGAATGGGCCCGACTTTACTGGAAAACAAACTCGCACATAATACTGATGTTTTCTGTGGTGCGTGTAGAGAACCGGAGATGCTTTTTACGGGTAACAAGTCTTAAGCTGATGTGGCAATGGGCCGGCCATATAGCTCGAAAAACTGACAACCGATGGGGAATAAAGGTTCTTGAGCGGCGGCCTCGTACCAGTAGGTGAAGTGTATTGCGGCCCCCCACTAGATTAGTTGTTAGTTGTTGCTTACGGTAATGGCACAGAATAAATAATAGTACGTAATGGTAATGCTTAGTTCACTCAAAAGGGACACCGCTACTTCGGAAACGATTAACATCTTGAGAAAATTATTTTAAATTTCAAGTGTCGATTTTTACTATTTATTAAAAGTTTTGACTATTTAGTTTTTATATTAAAATTTTGTACGATTTAAAATATTATAAGTGTCAATAAATAAGTATAAAAATATTAAACGAATTTACAAGAAGTAATTGATTTTTTTTTGATATTCTTTACCGGATAGTACGGATTTGGCAGATGGAGGCTAGGCGAGAAACAGTGTAATGGTCGCCACACACGGTCAGTTGAACTGATCAGTTAAACTGACGTAAATCCAAAAACTGATCGTGTGTGAAATCTTATCTTAAGTTGAAATTTTTATCTGACATCAACCCACGGATTTTTCATTTTGTAATCCGCTGGCTTCAATTCGTTTCAATTATTGGTAAGTACTTACTTTCTTAGTAGCTACTTATATTAATTCTATGCTGTTTAGATTTTATATTATTTTATATATTTAGAGAAATAGTTTGACGGAGGACGGAGAGCAAAGGGACTGTGATAATGTCACCTTCCTTATGGTGGACTCAGAAGGTGGGTAAAGGATCTCAGTGATGCTACTACGTAGAACCATTGTGTTTGAACTCATTTTCAAAAAGGTTAATGGAGACCTAGTTGACTGTGATGATATTACCTTTCTGATGGTGCAATCTGAAGTTGGGTATAGGATCTCAATGATGGCACTAGATAGAACGATCGTGTTTGAACTCATTTGAAAGGGCTCGTACAGACCTAGGTGACAGTTATGACCTCACCTTTTTGATGGTCGATCGAGAAATGAAATCCGTTCCGTTTGAACTAGACTGTTGATAAAATATCGAAAAATCGATATTATTAGTTAAAAATATCGATATTTATTTCTAATATTTTTTGGATGTTATATCGATAGTTTGATATTGACAGTCGATATATATATATTTCAATGTCAATAAAGAATAACAGTCGATTTTTTTTTAAATATTAAACATTATGTTTTTATTTTTCCTCGTAAATCGTTTAATCTACAACACCATCGTAAACTTAATTCCTAATTCTTGATGGACCCAATCTACCGTACTTTATTTACACTATATTATGCTTTTCCTTTTTCCGAAGTTAATTTATTTGCTTATTATCTTAAAAAGAAATGTAATTTTGTATAGTACTCGTATATCTCTGTGGTATTAAAATTACTATAATCTACGAAACTTAGTACTACTTTACTTACTGTGAGTTTTGGCTGAAACTTGACCGTTGACGGATTGTTGCTCTTGTCTCATTTAAATAATCGTTTGAAGTGGATTTTTATACGTAAAAGTGATGATTTTATGCATTTAGTGTCTGCGCATGTGACGAAACAAGTGCTTCGATGTCGATATAAACCTCAAGTTATTTTGATTGCTTAGGCGCCTTATGAACTTGAGTGACTGCCGTCATCAACTGTCCGCTGGGTAGACATTTTACTTCCGTGCTATCAGAAATAGGTGTTAAATGTTTGATTTCTTCAGCTACATCTATAGCATCTGAAGGAATTGCTTCTGCAATCAATCTTTTAGTGCCCAATAATCGTAGAAGTCAAACAGCTGAACATATAAAACAACGAGTATTTTTGAAAACTCTTATTGAAAAATATTGGTACACATAATTGTCTTATTTAAATTAAACAATAATTACTAAGAACTATAACCGAACATTTTCATACATTTATAATTAATTTGTTTAATAAATACACTAAATTATAAACTGTGTAAATAATTTTTAAGCTGACCCACGATTGTTTTCTTTTAAATAAAGCCGATTTATCGATATATCGCTATTTTTTTACACATATTGGTACACATAATTGTCTTATTTAAATTAAACAATAATTACTAAGAACTATAACCTAACATTTTCATACATTTATAATTAATTTGTTTAATAAATACACTAAATTATAAACTGTGTAAATAATTTTTAAGCTGACCCACGATTGTTTTCTTTTAAATAAAGCCGATTTATCGATATATCGCTATTTTTTTCGATATATAAAACTCCGATATTGATATATTTATAATTATCGATATATTAAAAATCCAATCAGTTGGACTGATCAGTTGAACTGAGCGTGTGTGTCGGCCATAACATTTTTCAGTCACGACCCCTTCTGACATAGTGTGGCGGCTATAAGGAAGCGATATGGAATAATATCCATCTCCCTTGCACATTTTCTTATCTTGCCTTGAAATAAATATTATTTTATTTTAAGTGACACTTCATTTTAATAGATACTATTAATTCTTTTATTTGTGTTTGTTAATCAATAATATAATATGTTTATGAATAATGATATACTACGAAAGGAAATTCGTTCCAACCGAGTGTTTCACGATACTCACGCATGTTTTTTTGTTTTATCGACGATTGCATTTTTATTAACGAAAGCAATACAACAAGGAGTCAAGTTTTAATTCAATATTAAACACAATTCTTTCAGTAATCGCCATACCCATTATTCCGCTACCGTTCTCATTCTACCTTCCCGGCTTGGGCATCTACTGGAACTCTTGGCGAACTCTACTCCTCGTCTACTCTACACCAAGTCTTCTAGCTGCTGTCTTGCTGTTCTTCATGCAGGAGAGCCCAAAATATGTGTTTGCGAAAGGACATGAAGAAGAATCTATAGATATTATAAAAACTATACACAGATGGAATAACTGGAAACCAGCAGAAGATTTTCAAGTAATATTGAACTTCTCTAGTTAGCTCTTTAGCGAGAAGTTAGAAATCATTTATCATCTGCTTCCTAACTTCTCGCTTGAAAATCATAAACATTTTAATTTAATTCTTACTAATACCACATAATAAATAATAGTACAAGAACTAATACCAAGTTCTAAGAGCCGTGGTAACTCAGGGACTAAACTTCTAAATTTCCAAAAATTTCACAGTATGCAAGCAACCCGAGTTCGATCTTTGCGACACCTATCAAATAAGGTTTTAAGGTATAACAGAACAGAAAACTGAATTTGCAATGGTCCGGCCATATATCTTGAGGAATCGGTTCTTCGAGTAAGAAGAAAGGTTCCCGAGCGGCAGCTTTGTAATGACAAGCGAAGGGGAGGCCACACTAGATTGAGTGACGATCTAAGAGATTGAAGAGGAAATTGATCGATGCAGGTGGCTCAGGGCCATTGTGGCATTCCTTGGAGGAGACTTGGAATAATGATGCTTAAGGTTTTATGGGTATAGAACTACCTACCCTTTATTTACTCTTCGCTTTTATTGTACCTTTTATGGGTTGTCTGAAAGAAAATAATGTGTAACAATGATACCATCTTTTGATTTTCCTCAATATTTATATGGTATATAGTTCCGTTCTAGGGACAATTCTGATTTGGACCAAAATTTTTTTCACAGGAGCATTTGCGCCAAAAATGCCTTTGGGGTTTTTCGTCATTTATGTTGGTAAACATGTAAAAAATATTTGGTCCAAATAGGAGGAGTCCCTAGAACGGAACTCTACCCGACATGTGAAGATCTCCAACACACACACTGAAGCAGCGTTGCCGACTAGTTGCTCTATATACTTCTCAGGTATAAGGGAAGGCCTGTGCCAAATGTTGGAGGGTATATTTGTAGCAACTTTCCTTTTTTGACTTTACTTACATTCACAAAGACAAACCTCCATGGTCTCATGGAGCCTCTATCACTGCCACCTGACGGCATATATTGTCATAGCGGTAATTAATTTAAAAAAAACACTATACTTTTTCAGATAAAGAGTTTGACGTTGGATGCTATTGACGAACCGACGTCAATAAAAGACCAGATCGTGCCACTATTTAAAGCACCCCTTCTCAAATATACTGTGATCATGACTACGCTGTATCTGTTGCAACTGTGAGTACCACAATTAATCAATAGATAGATAGCATACAAATTAATTATTTAAGATCTTTACCAATGAAATTTCCGTTCTGCAGTACTGGCCATTTCAAATCAAATTATTTTTGTTTGGCTAAGAATTCTAAATTCAAATTAATTTTATTTCAGAAACATTGAATTCTTTTTTCACAATTAGTCATTTGTTTATTGATTAGCGTTATGTTTATATTATATACATGCATATTTCATAGTATCGGCTTGGCACCATATTTTTAGGTATAAGGAACATTTATGGAATCACCTCGGTGTCTGTCTGTCACAGAGGTTTGATGACTTGGCATCGTAATAAAATGCGTTTAAATAAAGACTTGAGGATAGTAATCTTATTCAAATTAATATTAATCTTAATTTTTTTTAATTAAGGAGTTAGATTTAAGAGGTAACAAGGAAAGTTTGAAGAAAATATTAGCGTGATCCTTCCTCGGTCGGGCAAGCTCAATCGTGCTGCAGTCACTATACGCAGCGCCGTGACTCTACCCCGTTAAAAATTATAATGATTTCAAGAAATGAAAAGTAATGATAAACAATCTAAAATGGGCGAGGGAGAAATTTAAGGCCAACTCCACATTTGGTCATCTTGGTATATCGCTGTGTTACAATTTCCGATGCGTTTCGTTTCGCACAAAACCTCGTAGATGATGTGCCTCGTATATGATACACGTTTTGTGAGCGGCAGTGTGAGCGTACTTTAATAATGTATCAAGATATGACGATGCGATACCATACCTGATACGTCGCTTCCCATGTTCAGTCGGTTTTCCGCCGATGATCAAAGGGGATAGATATTACACGGTCTTGGCTAATTTGGATGTACACATACATATACATTTCATTGCTTTTACAGTGTTTGCAAATGAATAAAGCAATACAGAAAAGAAAAACACAACCTTCTTTTTACCTTACCTTAGTGTAGCCGGAAAAAAAATCTTCTCATCTGATGGTAAATTATCACCAAAAACATCTGCAGCAACACGAAAATCACGGCCTGATTCAATTTTTTCAATCGTTTAGTTCAACTAGTTGAACTTATGGGATAATATTTATTGTTTGAGAATAATCTATTGTTTTGTTTTTCTTATTTAAAACTATACTAATAAATTTTGTTATAAAATTGTAAAAAGTGCATAAAAACGTTATCAAGTACTGCATCATTATTTAATTATTTTTGTACGTTAAACTTGTACGCAAACTTTCCAAAAATAGAGGGATGTTTATCTCATTCTTAAATAACTGAATTTGCATGCCCATTATAATATAGTCATTATTAATGTATTCTTTGTTACGTCTTTTTGGTCTGTTTCACATTCTCTTGTAGTACTTTTAATAATGGCATCATATTCACTCTCTTTTTCCAAGCATTGCTCGTATTTCGCTTCAAATGCAATCTCTCAACATTATTATTTGTACGATGTCTTTCACAGTAAACGCGCCATGTTTTTATAAAGTCGTCGCTTATTAGCCATAGTTTCTCAAAGTAAACAACAAATTTATTTAAAAAGTTAGTTAAAATTTCCCAGGCCTCCTCTCATTTCTGAGAGGGTTTATTTAAATAAATTATTAGTTTCGAAAATTCTATCTTACTCAGAACATAAGGCTATCCTCTCTAATGTACACTCGTATTATTATTTTTTAAATATCCAGACTTTGCCAGTTTCAATATTTTTGCGTTTCTTCGTACACTGTTAAAATAATGATAGTAGCAGCCTTTAAAAAATTTTTAGGGACAAATTGGTATTATAACCGTCATCAAAGAACGGGCTATCTAACACAAAAAGAAGTTTTCATATTGAACTAGTGGTTAGTTCCTGATATTAGCGCGTTCAAACATACTAGTATTATAGTTCAATGTCATATACTAGTATAGATTAAAATTTAAGGAACGTATTTTTGTCCAATATGCTGAACTTTCCTAACTAATTATATAGTTGAACTGATTGGCATAATGTTGTCTCATAAGTTCAACTAGTTGAACTTACGGTTGAACTAATTGGATCAGGCTGTAATTGCAGGTGGACCAGCGGTATTATATCGACTAAATTACTAAATAATATGGACTGCCTCGTGGGTCTAGTAGTTGTAAATGCGACTGCGGATCATGAGCTCCCATGAAGGTTCGATTCTCAGTTCGGACCATAAAAATCAGTTATTGAGTAGCAGCCCGTAATCAGGCACTATCATCCTATCCTGCGGAGATGGCTAGTCTCAAAAAATTCTAATGTACAGAGATCAACTTACTAGAGATTTATTATAGAAATATATTATTCTTTTGTATGAAAAAAAAAACATGCGTGAGTGTCGTGGAACACTCGGTTGGAACGAAGTTCCTTTCGTAGTATATTATTATTGATAAACGTATTATATTATTCATTAACAAATACAAATAAATGAATTACTAGCGTCTATTAAAATGAAGCGTCATTTAAAATAAAATATTAATTCTTTCATGGCAAGATATATCAAAGTGTTATTCTATCTCGCTTCCTTATAACTGTCAAGGCCGTCTACACTATATCAAAAGGGGTCGTGAAGGAAATATCTTACATTTTATCTCCGCCAAATTTGTACCGTCTGATAAGGAACTTCGTTCCAATATTTTTATGCAGAATTACAGCGTTCGGAGTCTGGTTGCCGACAATTGTCAATCAATTCATGCAGATTGTGGAGACAGGAGTAGGCACAAACACAAGTCTGTGCAGCATTATCAGCGATAGTGTTCAAGTGCCAGTTGATGTAAGTTTTAAAAAGGGGCTTTTAGTAAATGTCTTACATGCAGAGAAATACTAAGAATCCGTGAGTTTTTTTTTTTGTTCTGACTTAATATGATAATAATAATATGGTAATAAGTTCGCGTAATAATAATAATAAATCGAGTTTCAGGGACTGATTTTCCATCATCAAATAAAAGTTATTCATTGCATAAAATCAAAGACATTTAAGTAGTAGTAGTAATAGACCGGACATCAGTAGCAAAATTGTCGTCTGTAACTTATGTCCTATACGATATATCTCTGATTTTTGTCATTTAGTCTTAGTGACATCGTCAAAAAGTCAAAACGCATTCGTTTCATATATTTAAAAAATATTTTTAAAGAAAATCTGCCCGGTTGTGCATTAAGATATCGTAAGTCACGATATGGAGCAAAAAATTTACGTGATTTCGGTTTATTATAGTAAATATAACATATATTTACCGAATAATCTTTAAATTTTATTATTTCTAGTAGATTGTTTTAGAACATTTATTTTTTATTGTAATAAGCACCCTCTGTTATCCAGTAAACGTCACTATTTAGTTACCAATTTTAAAGTTAGTGATTGACGACGTTTATCGATTGGCATTATCGATAAAAAATATACAGCATGCCGATTTAATCCTTTACAATATTTAAGGAGGTAAAACAGTCAACGATACTGTACCCATACCAAGAAAAATGAATAGCATGTACCAACTGTGCTAAGTACATAACTTTATGTCGAGCAATTGAGAGAGTGGGAATTGTTTTTAGGCATGCTGATGAGATTTTCTGTGTTGCTTATGATCATGCTGAGGATACTTGCTGTGTTGATGTTTAGCAATACAGCAAGTCTTCTCTTTGACATACCAGGCTTCATTGTCTGGTGGTTTTCAAGGACAAAGTCATTATAGATCCTATCTTACATTGATGGGAGTGGGCAATAGATTTCTTACATTAAAAACAATTTGTACTGTTAAAGATAGTAGATGCAAGAAGTTGTAGGTTAAGCCTGAGTTAGAACATAAGGTAAAAACTTACAATTAATTAGATTATTTTTACAAGTAATTTTTTTATTGATGTGGGTAGTGTCTTTAAGTATTGCAGCTGTTGAAACGTGAAAAATCGTGAAAGGGCTTTTAAGTTCAGTGTTTTCCTAAAATATTTTAGATTTGAAGGGTATTTTTGTAATAGAAACGAATTGAAAACATATAGGCGCTCTCTTATTGGATTTGGCGTTTCTCGATGTGTCTTTAACCTCCAAGGTGGCAACCAAAGTGACTGCTGTTTGAATTGATTCTTAGTTATTTGAAATTAAATATTTTATTTCATGACACTAAAGGGGCGAAAAAAGTTAATATGATGTTTTCGTGTGATGGAAGTCATGATAAATAGATTTATACAATAAAACAATCATGTATATTTCCTATTATTATATCGAAAAGCATTTCAAACTTGGTAATCTTCAACAACATTATCGATACTTTGATATCGAAACGGTAACATTCCTAAAACGAGGTTATATTTATTAGAGTCACCTACTGTGGAATAGCTAAAATGTTGTCTTAATAAATGCTTAGCGTTGTTTTGCTATTTTTAGCTAGAGGGTGCCACACGCGCACTAGCTCAAAGTTTTTGTATATATATGTTCCCAATGTCCGCTCTATAGTATACCTATGTATTTAAATCTCTTTGCATAAAATATACCACAAACAAAATTTAAAATTATAGATCTACGAATAAAATAGTACAATAATTGTTTTCTTTTATATTTAGGTAAGTAGGTTATAATTTATTTGATGGATAACTTTTATCTGACTGGAAAATATTTTAGCTTTAATAAAGTAATTGTAAAGTCTTCTCTTCATATACTTAATACACTTTTCACTATCTATAATTATTACAATAAATCTGTAGAAAATTCGTGTCTTAATTCTAATATTTCTTGATAAAAACAAGTCCAGGGAACTAAATAAAGGATACTGAAGCCAAATTAATGGTTTTTAGAATTGTTGTCTGTGTATTAACGAATCACGCAAAAACTATTGGGCGGATTTCTATATAATTTTGTACGTAGGTAGGTAGTGAGTGACCGGGGGCAACTTATAGGCTATTTTTTATTCGATTACGGAACTACAAAAAAGGAGAGTAAATATATTTTTTATTCCTTTTGAAGATAATTTTCTTTTTCTATATAGTCTAAAATTAACTTTAACCCTTGTGTAATAATTTGAACCACCAACGATATACGTTTTACGTTTTCAAAACAGCGCCATCTATCATAAAAATGAAACGCAATAGTAGTAATTAAATTGAAATGCAATGCCATGGGGTCAGCGCAGCGAACGCTTTTCTGCCCCAAAACGCGCTGTGACTTGTACCCCTTGTGGGATGAATGAAGGCTGCTACTTTTTTACTTTTTTATGGGGCTATTTTGCAGTTTTTATTTTATTCATATTTTCGGAGATGTTATAATTTCGTTTTCATTCTACCTTTAAATATTAAGTGTAGCGAATTACCACTTGCAGCCAGACGTCGCACCGTGCGCCCTGAACGTATCATCACTTCTATTGGTAATGTCAATGAGTGCTCTGCGGTCGTTCCTTAACATATTGCTAAGTTTGGTAAGTCTATAGTAAGTATAGTTTATAGTACAATAAAAAAGTCGTTTTATCTTACGTATTTAAAAGAAAAATAAATCTACCCTTAACTTTACATCGTTTGTACATTTAATTAGGAAGTCTTAAAATTAACCGTCAATATTTCCAAGACACTTCTTATTAAGTCTCGTGGTCTTAATGGATCGTCGAAGTCTTTTAAATCCATTCTCACACTGGTGTAATGCTGCGCCTCCTTACCAGTCGATGGAATTCGAACTAACCGGTTTTGGATGCACTTTTCCTTATCAACCGATCGGCAGTACCTAATCTTTGTCTGCCAAGAAGAGGGATAATATACAAGGTTATCATCATTATTATTATCATTACAGCCTTTCATAAGTCGACTGCTGAACATAGGCCTCCCCCAAGGAATGCCACAATGCATGATCCTGAGCCACCTGCATCTCGACTTCCTGCATGTCTTACCAGGTCGTCACTCCATCTAGTGGAGGGACGCCCTACACTTCGCCTACCGAGGCTGCCACTCGAGAACCTTCCTTCCCCGTCGGTTGTTGGTTCTTTGAGCTATATGGCCGGCCCACTGCCACTTCAGCTTACTAATCCGTTGGGCTATGTCGGTTACTCTGGTTCTACTGCGGATATCCTCATTTCTAAGTTTATTACGCAAAGAAACCCCGAGCATAGCCCTCTCCATAGCTCACTGAGCGACCTTGAGCTTCCTCATACGGCCAGCAGTGAAGGACCACGTCTCAGATCCGTAAGTCATCACTGGCAAAACCTGAAAACTAAATTGTACAACCAATGCGTGTTGCATTGGTTGTACAATTTAGTTTTCAGGTTTTGAGGTATGTCTAACGAGAAGATTTGTCGTAGTTTCCCGAACGCTGCCCAGCCGAGTTGAATCGGTCCATTGACCTCTCGGTCGAAGATAGATTTACCTAGTCGGACTATTTGTCCCAGGAAAAACATACTCGTCAACAACTTCGAGCTAAGTGCTCCCAACAACCACCGGTATAGGTGTGACATGGACATTAAATATGATCTTTGTTTTGTCCATGTTTATCTTAAGAGCTATCCGTTGGGAGACACTATTGAGGTCATTGAGCATAGTGCTTAGGTCCTCAAATCGAAGGTGAGTGATGTACTCGCCATTTTTTTTTATATGATAGGGTGACAAACGAGCACACAGTCCACCTAATTTTAAGTGGTTGCTGTGGCCCATAGACATCTACATCTATCCTCATTTGCGAATCAAAACGCAGATGCGTTGTCACCCGTGAGGACTAAGATGGAATGCCTCTTTTCCAGTAAAAAGGGTCTCCGGTAATCATTGATGTTAATACCGCATCCTTTCCAGTCCAGTAGCTTGAAAACGTCTTCCAATGCAGCGGTGAAGAGTTTCGGGGATATAACGTCATCCGGTCTTACACCTCTCTGCAGTTGGATATGTTTCGTACTCTGATTCTGTACTCGGATAGCCATCGTAGTTCTACTGTACAAACACTTCAGCACTTCGATATACCGACAGTCAACTTGGCACCGCTGAAGAGACTGCAGCACAGCCCAAATTTCGACAGAATCAAAGGCTTTCTCATAGTCCACACACGCAAGGCAAAGTGGCAGATTATACTCCTCTGTCTTCTATACAATTTGCCGAAGGGTATGTATGTGGTATATGGTACTAAAGCCTTTTCGACCCGAAACCGACTTGTTCAGGAGGCTGGAAGTCGTCAAGTCTGCGTGCGAGACGATTCGTAATGACTCTCGAAAACAGCACGTAGACGCGGCTCAGAAGGGAAATCGGTCTGTAGTTCTTCAAGAGAGCGTTGTCGCCTTTCTTGAAGAACAAGACCACTGCACTTCTGCTCCACGTCTCCGGAGTAATGCCACCATGAATGACGGAATTAAAGAGCTTCTGAAGGACTTCAAGTACCAGTTTTCCATCCTCATTCAAAAACTCCGCCACAATTCCATCCTCACCTGGGGCCCTGACGTTTTAACGTGCTGGAGAGCCATTCTAATCTCGCTCAGACTGACGTCCGGGATATCTTCGGAGTAGTGTCGGATAAGACTCGCTCTTGGATAGTTACTGACACTTGCGTGTGACTCCAACGATGATGTGTACAGCTGCCCATAGAACCTCTCAATCTCACTCAAAACCTCAGGTGAACGCAAACGGAAACGATGCTACCAAACTCGATCTTCAGCTTTGACAGTTGGCTCTTTCTCGCAGAGAGATCTCTGGCAAAGACTTTGGAGCTCTGGTTCCGCTCGATCGCTTCTTCAATACAAGCTATATTGAAGTTGCGTAAGTCCCGCCGCATGCATTTGGAGATCTGTCTGGTCAGTTGCCTATATGCTGTCAAATCTGTTGAAGAATGTAGCTTCATCTCCCGTCTAACAGCCATGAGATTAAGAGTGTGATCGGAGAGTTTTTGTGTTCTTCTGCGGCGGGTCTTGCAGAACTTAGCTCCAACCGCATGGACAGTTTCCACGAGCTTGTCATTCATATCGTCCACTTCATTGCAGTCTTCTAGGTACTGAAAATGGTTTTGTAACTCGAGCTGTAAGGTTTCGGGACTTTGGAACAGAGCACGAGGGGGACGGAGCGTTGACTTCATTAGACGAGACCTCTCCAACTTAACGTTTAGGTTCAGTGTGCCTCTAACCAGTCGGTGATCGCTACCAGTTTTCACCCTCGCGATCACGGAGACATCACTGAACAGTTGTCGTCTGTTCGTCATAATGAAGTCAATTTCATTTTTTGTCGAACCTACGGGGCTCGGCCAGGTCCACTTCCTGTGGGGCCGCTTCTGGAAGAAAGTGTTCATCATAAAGAGTCCCTCTTTCTCCGTGAAGTTGGCCAGCTGCTGGCCCCTTGGGTTCCGTTTCCCTATTCCAAATTTCCCTACTTTCAGCTCACCGTTCTCTCTTGTGCCTAGTTTTGCATTGAAGTCTCCCATTAATACCGCATAGTGGGTTTTGGAGGAATGCATGGCTCTAGAGATATCCTTATACATTTCCTCCACCTCCTCATCGGGATGTGCCGAGGTTGATGCGTAAACCTGTATGACCTTCAGCGAATACCGTTTGATGATTCTGAGTATAAGGTACGCAACCCTCATCGACACACTCTCAATCTTTACAACATTGTTAACGAGAGCCTGGTAGACGATAAATCCGACACCTCCTTGGCACAGATGGTCGCCCTCCCGGTGATAGAGCAAGTTGCCGGATTCTAGGATTACCGTGTCCTCCCCCTCTCTTCGGACCTCGGATAATCCTATAATATGCCAGCGTAACTTGTCTATCTCTTCTTCCAGCTCCAAGATCTTCTCGTCAGTCCTCAGGGTGCGTGCGTTGTATGTTGCCAGGTCGTCTTAGTCTTAGGTGGCAACCGAACCTCCACCGGAGATTCTTAGCACTCACTGCACCGCCGTTACCATGGTTGCCACCATAGCCAGGAACAGCGGGGCCGCCGAGGACTGGGGGCCGTCTCTTTGTTACTCTCATCATTGGGGGGTATTTGCCATAGTTGCCACGCTTGGCGAGCGGGTTGGCAACCGCAGTTTTTTTATTGTAATTTTGCTGTTATCAGGAAGATGCTGCTGCGCATCTCCTGCCTGTTTCCCTTTGTCGCCTTTTACGACACCCACGGGAAGATATGGGGTAGTGGATATTCTTAACCGCCACTACACGGCAAGGTTATGTTGGTATTTAAAAAAAAATAACATATAAATTCTCCCATACGCACCTTAATGTAATAAAAAGTTATAAATTAAAAAAGAACTTGTTGCATTACTATCCAGGTTGTGAACAGAGTTGGCTACCGCAACATGGCTATATGCTTTACAGTCGTGTGTGGAGTGTCAGGCATCATGGTGAACCTCATACCCAACGCCTACGCTAGCGTCGTTTTCTTCATGATCTTCATGACTGGAGCTTTGGTTACGGGAATGTACGTGGCCATTACCGTTGCATTGTTTCCCACTCATCTCAGGTGATCTTCCGTTTTTTTATTTATTTATTTAAATTTGTAAGGTTCCTTAATTTTTAACACATTTATATTTTTATATATTATAAATTTATAAATAAAACTAAAGTTACAGTTATTACACGTCCCCTACTCCTCCTCTTATTTCTAAGAGGGTTTTAGGGCAAGGTGGTGTCCGTCACAATCCCCAAGATTGTTAAGAGATACAGGTTGTCTACCATGTTTTATATCGTCGTCGAGTACGTGGTAAATGAGCACTTGAATTGTAATTAGCAATCTCATTGGTGCCGCCGAGGAATGACCCCGGGTTTTTCGCCTATTGTGAAATTTATGGCGAGCGTTTAGCCCCAGGGCTGACCACGACTCTTAATTATTAAAGATGATTTCTTATAATTTACGCGAACACTACACATTGAATAAAACTATTTTTACGGATTTTGTTGCGTTTAATTTACTATTTAATTCCCGACGTTTCGGGCGCTTTACAGCAACCCATAGTCACGGGGGGGACTGAGATGTTAGACGTCCCGATGTCACAGTTAGCCCGGCTACCTTCAGTTTTTTAATATTCATTTTTCGTTCGATTTACGCAGAATGAACTTACAGTATCTTGAAGTCTTTTGAAGGTTTGGATTTAATTTTTTTAATTATAGGATCCCAAGCAGATGGCAGCACCCATCCATCTTCTCTATTGAAATTAGGATGTTTTTTTTAATTTCAATAGCCTCGCGTATAAACCTTGGTAGGAATCGGTGTTCTTTTGCGAGGATAGATTATTTGTAGTCCACTGCTAAACATAGTCCTCCCCCATAGATTGCCTCATAGGAGGCAATCTATGGGGGAGGACTATGTTTAGCAGTGGACTTTACTAGGCTGTAACGGAAGTTTTTCTGTTTTTAATTTTATGTTTTTAAGTTATGAATAGAAATAGGCATCGAGAAAAACGTTGTTATTTCCCGATTGCCCCAGATGGAGGGTAATGTTTTTAGTGAGTGTGTATGTATGTGTATTTATTTGGCACGCTCGGTAGACGAAACGGCTTGTTGGGTTTTAACATAATATGAGGTGTAGTGTGGGAGTGACATAGGATGTAAAATTTTTCTTTTTTCAGTTAACTAACAGTGGTAGAGCCACACGGCAGCTTGTGCTGTCGCACGGATGGGCCGGCTCGAACCGGGGTGGTACCACGACCTCACAAAAAACTAGCGTGATGTAGAGGTTTACCTCTGCGTTTCGCTTGGTGAGTGCAGGTGGCCGGAGGCACTTTTTACTGCAAATGAACCATTCCATCTTAGTCCTCACGGGTGACAACGCATCCACATATTGATTTGTAATAGAGGATAGATGTAGATGTCTATGGGCCGCAGCAACCACTTACCATCAGGTGGACTGTGTGCTCGTTTGTCACCTTTATCCTATAAAAAAAACTTTTTACGCAGTCTAGTTTTTTTTTACTGTTTAACTTTTGAACTTGTTTCAGATTTCATTTCACGTCAAATTATTACAGAGGTATTATCTTTGAATTCAAACGTGTTACAGGGCGCTGGCCGTGGCTCTAACATCAACTGGAGGAAGTATTGGAATGCTTGCTTCGGTACCGATCCTCAACCGGCTGCTCGAGGTCAACTGCAGTGCTGGTTTTTATGCATTCAGTAGCATTTTTCTTTGTACGTATTTTTGCATAGTCTCTTCTTTTTTTTTGAAGTAGGGTGACAAACGAGCACTCAGTCCACCTGATGGTAAGTGGATACTGTGGCCCATAAACGTCTACATTTATCCTCGTTTAAGAATCAAAATGCAGATGTATTGTCACTCCTGAGGACTAAGATGGAATGCCTCGTATCCATTGAAAAGTGTCTCCGGTTATCTACACTCACTATAAGAAATACAGCAGCATTTATGCTGGTTATCTGAGAAAGCATGGTCCTTCCGCGGTCGATCCGACCTATCCGTGCTTCAAACATAATATTTTTTTTCTTTTTTTTTTTTATAAGATAAGGGTGACAAACGAGCACACAGTCCACCTGATGGTAAGTGGTTGCTGCGGCCCATAGACATCTACATCTATCCTCGCTTGCGAATCAAAATGCAGATGCGTTGTCACCCGTGAGGACTAAGATGGAATGCCTCATTTCCAGTAAAAAGGGCCTCCGGCCACCTGCACTCACCAAGCGAAACGCAGAGGTAAACCTCTACTTCACGCTGGTATTCTGTGAGGTCGTGGTACCACCCCGGATCGAGCCGGCCCATCCGTGCGACAGCGAAAGCTGCGCGTGGCTCTACCACTGTTAAAGAAATATAGTTGCAACATGGCTCTACCACGTAAAAAAACAATATTTTCTATCTACGGAGCAATTTAATTAATACATAAGACCATGAGTACATGGCGATTTTAAAGATATAGAATAAGCGTGACAACTGAGCACCAATGGTAAGTGGATGCTGGTGCCAACAGACGTCTACATCTATCTTCGATTAAGAATCAAAATTCAGGTGCGTTGTCATCCCTAAAGGCTAAAATGGAATGCCTCGTTTCCAGTAAAAAGGGCTTCGGGTTCTCTACACTCACGATAACTCACAACACAGTAGCACTAAACTAATATTTCACGTTGGTATTGTGTAACAGCGTGGTCTTTTCCCGATCGAGCTGACCTATTTACGCTACAGCCATAATATAGCTGCAGCATGTCTCTACCGCTTGAAAATCATTTTTTTCCGTCTGTGGGATTTGAGTTCCCGTTTTGAAATGAATAAACCGCCAACCTTATTCTATAAAAAAATGGAAAACAGAGAAAATATTAAGAAACTGAGTCTATTAAAAAGAATGCTTAAATTATTTACTCTCAAAGAATGTTAATATATTCTCATAATTAAATAAAACTATTTTACAAATTTTATCGAGTGTAATTTTACTGGCCGCGGGGGGAATGCGGTGACTGATGTCCAAATGTCAAAGTTAACCCGGAATACCTTCGGCTTTATAATTATTACTTTTTGCCGAGCTCTGAACTCCTTTCATATCTGAGAATTCATTTTCTCTTTTTAATACTGACAGCTTGCACTTAGGGTTGCCAGATGGTCGGGATTTGTCTCGATTCTCCCGACATTTTGAATGATCTCCAGACTCCCGACAAAACTCAAAATCTCCAGACAAACAGCTTCTCGGAAAGTTCTATACAAAATAATAATTTAAAATTGCCACGCGCGTTCATGTTCTTCTTCGTCATGTCCCGATACGATGGTTATCTCTTTTGCCCACTTTAGATCATTTACTGTATTGTTAGCCTACTGTAAAGCAGTATTTTATGTTGAAAAGGGAAGACGAATGTCGAAAAGAGATATTAATATGGGAGTTTCTAACAAAAAGTATAAGCCATATTGATAATAGTAGTGAACGGGTTGACGAATACAAACAGAAAGAGGATTTCAGAAACGTATTTATACTTTATACTTTGTAACGTAATGTTGGAGTTCCAAGTAGCAATTTTAGCATTGGAAAGTGCTGCATGCACTGTCCTAGAACTTGAAAGTATAATGAAAAAGCTAAAGAGTCATCTCAAAAACGGGTTGGATGACAAATTCTTAGGTAGTAGAAAAAGAACCTTATTAAGGAATGTTTCCTATAGTGAGGAAAGCCCTTTATGCGTCAAAGCTGAACATTTTTAAAACGAGCTATTCAATACTTGAAAGAACGCTATTTTTCTGAGAACTCTGTATAAAAACTCGCTGTATTGTCTTTAAAAGTTGCAAATTTATTTACGTAGGAAGAGTTATCCGTATTGCCTGACGTACTTAATATTTCAAACGATATTGACTTTGAAACACTTGAACATCTTCCAAAACACAACGACATGTAAAATGACAAAATTTGGGCATTTTTTTATATACAACCAAAACGACCTAAAACTTGAAAAATAATATATCATTTGTGTTGCCGTTTCCTATAAGCAATGCTTACTGTAAAGGGTTGTTTAGTTTGCTATATAATTTATATACCAAAGAGAGAAATCGTTAGTAATTGAATTGAACTTATTTGAAGTAAATTGATTGAATTTTAAATCATTTCTGAATACTACTAAAGGACCTAAAGTGAGGGACTCAGTAAAGTCCAATGCCAAATAAATGTGACAACCTAAAATTTAAGTGTAATTAAATTGGTTACATGTCAATAATGTTAAGTCTTTTGTAGCCAATTTATTTTAAAATATTTTTTTTATTTTACGTTTTTATTTTTCATATTTATTTCTCCCGACAACAACCACGAAATCCCGACATTTTCTAATTTTGTCCAGATATTTTGGCCTTTCGATCTGGCAACCCTACTTGCACTGCTGTGTTCCGTTTTGAAATGTATACATAGCCAGAATAATGACAGGGTGTGAGGCAGCCCATCTTAGTCCTCAGTAGTGACAACGCATCAGTAGCTATCTTTGTTTGAAGCTGGTTGCAGGTGCCTATGGGCTGCAGTAGCTACTTACGTTCAAGTAAACTTTATGTTTTCTTGTGACTGCAGATTTATAACAAAAATATGTGTATATTCTCTCATGGCCTTTCCAAGTGGCCTGCATTTCTTAAAATATTTGTCCATACTCATCAAGCTAGGTTGATACCCTCACATTGGTAATGAAGATGAACAGTATTTCCAATGCGAGGGCATGGCCTCTGTGCTCACTAACCCACTCGACCAGCGCGATAAGTATTTGCAATTGTTTAGGTTGGACATGCCAGATGTCGCTCTTGAAAACGCCTATATCTCTACTTCATTATCTGTCAGTGTCTATCCACTGCTAGAAATATGCTTCTCCCAGTGTAGATGGTTTGCTGTAACCGTTACCGTTTGTGAGATGTTAAACCATCGACTATAGATCTTGTTAGCTTTTCTCATAGTTGCCTCCCTTCCTATCCCTTCCTATAGTCTCGCCTACTTCTAGCGGTAGTTTCAAAAGGGTTATAAAGTAAAATTATTTTGTTCTGTTTCAGCATCAGCGTTCATAGCTGCGTTTTTACCTGATGACAGTCGTTCATTGAAAAAGAAACTGGAACAGATAGAAAAAAGTACAAAAGATGAAAAATTAACACAGTGCACTTAGTTTTTATTATAGTGTAGGTTAATGTTATATTGTAAATAAAATAAATTCAATAATTGGTAAATCCAATGAGGATCCGTAACGTTTTTAGTTGAGAATGCAGATTTATAGATCTAAGAAATCCTTAACATACAGTGCAAAAATTTTTGTTCTACGACAAAAATTAACGAAGTTATGATCAAATTACTAGCGAAGTTCACTGACGGCCCGGCGCGGTAGCTGTGACGTCACTATGACGGTCTTCGCTAGTTAGCCGTTGGCAGCAATAAGGCACGCAGTGTTTTGTTTGGTTAATTGTGACTTTGAAACAAATTAAGTGTCCGATTTGTGTCTAATTCACCTTTTTAACTATGTATAAATATTGTATAGTGCCGAAATGTACAAACACTTCTATTAAAACACCAGAAAAACTATTTTTTAACGTACCGAAAGACCCCAAATTCGTAAAAATTTCGTAAAAAAAATGGTATTCCATTGTAAAAAGAGATGATAAAATTACACCCTTTGCCCAGGCTACAAGAAATTGCTGTGAAGATCACTTCGATGTACGTACCTACATATCTATTATACCTATTATTTAGTTGATATGGAAATAAGTTGGTACCTTATATTACGTGTAGTGTACCTGTATATTCTCTTATTTTAAGCCTGCTGTATTAATAAAAACATACCTATTTACTTTTTTTAAGTTTTGTTGATAAAACTACGCACTAACGTATCTACTAACGTAAACCTACATATTCGCCCGTTCCCATTTCTATGTATTACTAGCTTTTGCCTGCGGTTTCGCCCGCGTTGAATTCAGTTTGTCACAGAAAGTTTTTATCTCACCGCTATTTCATCCCCGTAAAGTTTTATTTTTGCGATGAAAAGTAGCCTATATCCATTTTAAGATTTCAGATCGAAGTCATTAAAATCGGTTCAGATGTTTATATGTAAAAACATCGTATTTCGTATTCCAGGGTCAAAACAATGACATAGAGACGTACTCGGGTAAAAAGCAAAGAGTGAATGATAATATTCTATAATCATTTACATAACAGCGGTGAATTTATGTATCTGCCTCAGCTATGCCTTATTGTTAGAAACAAATAAATTAATACTTATATACATTTTTATATTTCAGTTAGAAGAAGATATGGAAAATTTAAGTTTAAAATTAATGTTTAAGTTACTTGGAGGAAAGCTTAAACTGAAGAAGGGAGTTTTGCCTCATAAGCTTGAATGCCAAAAGCCCCAAAAAAAGAAAATTGACAGACCGGGTTTTAAAAAACGACAAGACATAGAATATTTTGAAAGAGTTTTAAGTAGAGATATTGGACAAGAAGACCTGTTGTTGCATTCCATTGAAGTAGTAGAGTGTGAGAATCAAGACTCAAATAACCTACGCACCTAAATGAGGCCAATCAGGTTTTAAAAAGAAACCACAATTTTTTAATAACTACTTTCCTTGTTTTGGCTATTTCTGCTCTGACATTGGATTCCAATCGTTTGCCTCTTTTCATAGACAGAGTCTCTGGTACAGAGGCACCAAATATTTGTTCAATCAAAGCACCATCAGGAGTCTTGCAATGTGTGGCTTCGTGAACTTTAGACGCGGTTATTCTACAATACCTTAACTCATGCCATAACGGTGAACTAGCTTGACAAACTGTTGCTTCCTCTGCTTTGTGATATTTCTCTATGGTGATTTTAGTAGAACAATAATCAATAAAATTATCTGCACTATTTATATTATTGCCTTCATTTTTGTATTGATGAGTGAGGTTATGCAAGGACAATTTTTTATACTGATTCTTTGTAACGTATACTGATAACTGATTTTTAATAGGATTTTCCCTTAGGCTTTGCACAACTGCTAGGAAAAACTGATTTGAATTGGTGTTATCAGTATTTTTATCTTCAGTAGTAACTGAGCTGTACACATCATCGTTGGAGCTAAACGCAAGTGTGAGTAACGATCCAAGAGCGAGTCTTATCCGACACTATTCCTATGATATCCCGGACGTCAGTATGAGCGAAATTATAATGGCTCTCCAGCACCTGAAAAACGGCAAGGCCCCAGGCGAGGATGGAATTACAGCGGAGCTTCTGAAAGCGGGTGGAAAACCGGTACATGAAGTCCTTCAGAAGCTCTTTGATTCCGTCCTCCATGGTGGCATGGTGGAGCAGAAGTGCGGTGGTCTTGTTCTTCAAGAAAGGTGACAATGCTCTCTTGAAGAACTACAGACCGATTTCCCTTCTGAGCCGCGTCTACGTGTTGTTTTCGAGAGTCATTACGAATCGTCTCGCGCGCAGACTAGACTACTTCCAGTCTCCCGAACAAGCCGGTTTCCGAAAAATATCCCGAACAAGCCGGTTATCGAACGTAGATAAAAAAGCAGCACCCTTACCTTTGTAGTTTCCAACCACGGATTTCAGCGCTGGTGAACTTTTACTTAGATAATCAAATACCATGAAAGAATCCACTTTTGGAAGGTTATCTGATTGAGCTTGCACAAAACCAGCTTCTACTTTATTAGCACTCATATTATGTACTTTTAATACTTAAACAATCACAAAATAATACGGTAACAACGCTTTATTCAAATAAATTGCTAAATATAGTGCCCAACCGCGTCTCCGCACTCCATCGAATCGTGAACTACCACCGAATACATGTATGTACTACTATGATGCGTTCGTTTCCGTCACAGTGACGTCACGCGGACCTGTGTACATTGATTTTTAGCGACAGTAACGGCCTATGTTTATTACTTAATATCTTCGTAAATAATGGTCCGATTTGGCTAATTCAAAAAGATATATAATTCTTATCTCATAAAGAATAACATGGATACTAGTTTTATTGAATTTTCTATAACTTTACTGATCCTCATTGGGCATGCCTTAAGCGCATTAAAAAAATTACGTATAACATGACTATACGGAATTTTTTAAAGTAGTTTAAATACATTTCGACAGCACTATCGGCTTCAACACCCTCGAAAACCATGAAAATGACACCCATGATGAAAAAATTGGTACCTACTTCAGCCGCCATCTTGGGTTTACATTTCGACAGTACTTTTGGCTTCAACTCTCTCGAAAACCATGAAAATGAACCCATGATGAAAAAATTGGTATAGGTACCAATGTAAATCTAGAATGCTGTCGAAAATGGCGGCTGAATTAGGATTCAGCCGCCATTCTAGATTTACATTTCGACAGCACTATCGGCTTCAACACCCTCGAAAACCATGGAAATGACACCCCTGATGAAAAAATTGATATCTATTGCAGCCGCCAACTCAGATTTACATTTCGCTACCACTATCGGCTTCAGCACCCTCGAAAACCATGAAAATGACACCCATTATGAAAAAATTGATATTTATTGCAGCCGCCATCCTGGATTTACATTTCGACAGCACTATCGGCTTCAGCACCCTCGTAAACCATGAAAATGACACCCATGATGAAAAAATTGATACCTATTGCGGCCGCCATCTTGGATTTACATTTCGACAACCCTATCGGTTTCAACACTCTCGAAAACCATGTAAATGTCACCCATGCCAAAAAAATTGATACTACTTACTTTTAGTACGTACTAATATTATTTATTCTGTGCTTTTAAAATATTGTAATAAAAAAATCTCTTATTATTATTATAATCAGGTATTTAAGAAATTTGGTTATTCGAATATTGTGTATTTGTACAGCGATCTTTTGGAGTCGCTGCAAACATCCGAAACAATATCCACTCACGACGGCGACTGACGTCGAACCAAAGACTACGATGCGTCGAACTGAGTGAGTGAGTAAACTACTCTGTGGCTGTAGCTCCCTTTACAGAAATCATTTACATACAAGGCTACCAAAACAAAGAACATTTCGCCATTTTGGAGCCGAAAAAAATTAATTATAGCTAAACAAAACAAAATTACACTACAATTTATATTCAGTGGCTTCCCACATGATAGATGAAAAGATTAAAAAATAGATTGAGTTAAACAATTGATATTTTCAAAAGTTAGTGTTTACAAGCCTTCCGGACTTGATAAATCCACACCATAAGTCACTAAAACCCCTTTTTTTATTTAAAAATAGCAATTAATCGATTTAAAAAAATATCAATAAGTTCAACAATCATTTATCTTTCTAACAATATGCTTTTTATATCATTTATATGTATAATATGATTGCTAGATACGATTTTATTCGATAAAACGTTGGAATCTTGATTTTTAGGCGATAGTAGAACATACCTTGCGCTTTCGCTTAAGGCATGCAATAAAGTACAATTAAGTTACTATGTAAATGTTTATTTTGGTTATTTATGTAGATAATCGTGTAATTAAAAACGTAATTTGTGAGATTCTTTTCCCAGTTTTTCCATTGGAATAGGAAAATTCCTAGTAATACAATTTGGTAATCTGATAATATGAACCTTGTAGTGGCGTGTCGTAAGAGGCGACAGAGGGAAACAAACCAGGAGATGGGCAGCAGCGTCTTCCTAATGACATATAAAAAATAATAAAATTCTACGTTTGCTCAGCCGCCTGACGAGCGTGGCATCTAACAAAACTCCTCCCCTATGAGGCAATACATGGGGGAAGCCTATGTCCAGCAGTAAACCTTTGATAGCCTCTACCGCTACGGTAAGTCATAATATGATCACCACTAACCTACTTAGGTACTCGTATTTTTGCCGCTGAGCATTCATTGCTGTGTTTGCCCTGAATTATGTACGTACGTCGGTCGCGCGTACTAATGTACATTGTGTTCTAAATAGCCCCACACTACGACGCTGACGACAGCGGGGCGTAGTTTGCTACGTACGTGTACGCGACCGACCGTACGTAACCGACGTCATCGTAGGAGGAATTCAGGCCTTAAATTTAAAGCAACCGAGCACAAGTTTTACAGGTAGATGAGATAGTGATACAATAAATGTTAGTCCTCTGGGGTGACTTTACATCAGTAGCCATTCTTCAAGTTGTTTGCGCATGTCCCTAGGCTGCTGTAATCACTATCAGGTGAACTGTGTCATTATAGACGAGGATGCTTTTAGAATATTTTTTCTTATAGGATAAGGGTGACAAGCGAGTATACAGTCCACCTGATGGTAAGTGGTTGCTGTGGCTCACAGACATCTACATCTATGCTTGTTTGTGAATTAAAATGCAGATGCGTTGTCAGCCGTGAGGACTAAGATGGAATGCGTCTTTTCCAGTAAAAATGGTCTCCGGTTCTCTACACTCACCATACAAAACATAGAAGTGTTAAACTGCTATTTTACGCTGGTACTCTGTGAAAGCGTGGTCCTTCCCGGTCGAACCCACCCATTCTTGCCACAACTATAAGTATATACAATTAATATAGCTGCAGCATGGCTCTATCAAGTTAAAAAAAATCTGAGACGGTTAAAAAGATCTGCGCCGCAAACGACATCTTTTCTACATAAACAATTAATACTAACTTATCTATCTATAAATATAAAAAAGGATGTCCCGAGTAACTGACTCATCTATCCACGCACAGCCGTAAACGTAGAAATCCGAAATTCACACAGTTCCTGCCTTTTGAAACGTCATCAGGCATATTTTATTTTATAACACATCCACTAAGAAAGAATTTTGGAAAATTCAACCCCTAAAGAACAGTGGTGTTACAGTTTGTATGAAAATCTTTATTTTACGGGGCGTTCGACCTGTCGTTCGACTCGAAACTTACTAAAAGTCCTCTGTTAATAAAATAAATCATTAAAAAAAACGTCAGAGGTTGTTCAAATGTGTGTGTGAGAATTATTAATTGTTGATGGAGAATTATCAATTAATGGTTTTATTAATTTGAAAATTGATGTATATACTCTGGAATTACAATTAGTAAAATACACATTTTTAATTTCGTCCAAAATTTACTTAGGGTTTTAAAACTAGGGCGTAAAGTTTGTATGATTTTTTTTTATTATTAAGACGTTTATTCCAAAAAGCTAGACGTAAAAATCTGAATTTTGCACGGTTCCTGTCTTTTTTGACGTACTCGTCGAATAAATAAGGATATTGGAAAATTTTTAACTATAAGTGAATGAAATAGGGTGTTGCAGTATGAATGGTTTCACGGGGCGATTAACTCAAAACTTGATGGAAGTACTCCGTAAATAAAGTAAATGGATACTATATATTTAGTATTTTTCGTTTTTTCAAAACATACATATAGATAATAAATAAAAAGACAATTTTTTGATAAAGCTTGGTTACGGAGTCAAGTGATATTAACAAGTTTCGTGCTATTTTAAACGTTTTCTTTTTAAATTGCGGAACTGTTGATTCACTTTAGTTATCGTTGATTTGCGTTGGTGTTGGTTTTAAATTGTAAATTACGTAGTAAGTTTTGATTAGTAGTTTACTTTTATATGTTGCTTAGTTTTATATGTTTTTTACTTTTATCTGTGGATAAGCTTAACATTGAGCTAATTAATCGCAAATGACCATAAATCAGTGGTAATACAAAAAAGGGTGATAATAAACCCAGCACAAAATTTACCATCTATTCAATCTATATATACCGTGATGAGGATGATTCACTTTTTATAGTCCATGTAAGTAAAATAGCGAATGACTTATTATCATCTGGAACAGTGTACCTAGCAATGGGAAACTGTAACAGTACGTATAAAAATACTCCACAAATGCGGAGTAAAAATTAAAAAAAATGCCGAACAAATACTCCTAGATGCGAGTACATTGAATTAGTGCATACCGCAAATGCCCATGCAGGGATACCCAGCCAGGTAAACGAGCGTATCTAGTGAGACATTGTAATATCAACACTTAATGTTTTGAGACCCTGAACGGAATCGTCGGAGGTGTACACACCTAATGACGTGTGATTCAAGCAGGGACATCAAAAAATCAATGAAACGGCGCATGCGTTACGCAGCCGCAAATTTCGCAATACAGCTGTACATTTATGGGGCCCTAGTACTGCCGCCCACAGATACGAAAGTTTTCTGCCCTTCACCAGAGTTTCCCAGATCCAGGAAAACCTTTTTAATCAAAAGTAGATGCAACTAAAATCGCAGTCAAACTTCGGGCTCTTATTTTTATGATGGTAGTTATACTCAAGCCAGTCCCTGCTTGTTTTTGCAGAATTATACTATAAAAATCTTCGATACTGTCGAGATACTGTATTTAACAGTTATTATTACAGGCACAGAATAAATAATAGTACAAGAACAGAAGGATCACTCTCTGATAGCAAACTTGCGAGTTTAAACCTAGTTACAACGACGCTAATGTTCAAAATGCCATATACCAGGCATTAATGGTGGCGCTCATCAATACTTTGCACGCCTCCGATACTACGACCTTCGTTACATTAGCCTACCGATTAAATCGTTGAAAAAAAATGCAGCACGCATATTAAATCAAATCCGCGTCATTGTAATGATCATCGTCATTGTCATCGTCATGATCACCGTCATTATCATCGTCATGATCATCGTCATTATCATCGTCATTATCATCGTCATGATCATCGTCATGATCATCGTCATGATCATCGTCATGATCATCGTCATTATCATCGTCATTATCATCGTCATTATCATCGTCATGATCATCGTCATTATCATCGTCATGATCATCGTCATTATCATCGTCATGATCATCGTCATGATCATCGTCATGATATTCGTCATTATCATCGTCATGATCATCGTCATTATCATCGTCATTATCATCGTCATGATCATCGTCATGATCATCGTCATGATCATCGTCATTATCATCGTCATTATCATCGTCATTATCATCGTCACTATCATCGTCATTATCATCGTCATGATCATCGTCATTATCATCGTCATGATCATCGTCATTATCATCGTCATTATCATCGTCATTATCATCGTCATGATCATCGTCATTATCATCGTCATTATCATCGTCATGATCATCGTCATTATCATCGTCATTATCATCGTCATTATCATCGTCATGATCATCGTCATGATCATCGTCATGATCATCGTCATGATCATCGTCATGATCATCGTCATGATCATCGTCATGATCATCGTCATGATCATCGTCATGATCATCGTCATTATCATCGTCATGATCATCGTCATGATCATCGTCATTATCATCGTCATGATCATCGTAATGATCATCGTCATTATCATCGTCATGATCATCGTCATGATCATCGTCATTATCATCGTCATGATCATCGTCATGATAATCGTCATTATCATCGTCATGATCATCGTCATGATCATCGTCATTATCATCGTCATGATCATCGTCATGATCATCGTCAAAATTGTTGCGGTGAAAATTTTAAAGCACCTAATTGTCACCTTGTCACCTAAAAATCACCTTGTCACCTAAATTAGCACTTAATTTTTAGACACTGATAAATAAAATGCCTTATGATAAAGTAATGCTGGTCATGGACCCTATAATTCCCAGAATAATATCTTAATCTGTATCGGGTTTCGATAATCGCTCAGCACTTAATTAGCAATTAATTGGTACGACTTTCCATTGACGTCAGTGGAGTTTGGTGTTGATACGTATTTTTACAGAAAGATTACACTATTATAAGCACACACACAAAGTCTCAATATACGGAAATTAATATTGAAGTCGGTTGTACAACATTTTTAATTTGATTAATTGTCTCTCTTTTCTTAAAAAAAAAGCTAAGAGGTAACGTTTCTTAAAATGTTACCTCTAGCTAGTGTAGCTAGGGAAGCTAGTCCACTAGTTACATTAGGATTTTCTCCTGTATCGCGGGGGCAATTTACATACATAGATGTCACAAGGAAAAACAACCAGACCCATACTAATTATTTACAGGTCATACATGTTTCATGTACTTGTTCCGTGCGGGATTTGAACCCGCAGCCCTTAGCACTGCAACTGCTAAGCCATTGCGCCACGAAGCCGTCACTTATCTGTTTCACATTTTTTGCGATTTACAAACATGCGATCCACGACAGCATTATAATGAGTGGTAATGAGAAGTGCTTCTAATTTCAATCTCTTTTATTTATCGGCCAAGTAAGTGTTTAACTAATATACACGACAAAATCGGTCAAATATAAATCTGTAACTATGATGTCAGTAACTAGGTAAATAATTATCTAGATCTACCTGTAAATAATAATATTTTACCTTTCGATATCCTTAGGAACAGTAAAGAATGAAAAATCGACATTCCTATTGTTTTTGAGTGGCCTTACTTAAATAAAAACTCAAAAATAAATATCAAGTGCCTAAATACTTATAAGAGAAAAATACTTAGGAGTACCCTTAACCGACGAGCGTGTATGCGTAGATATATGGATGTAAAAGAGGCGAGAGAGGTGT